ACGGACGGCCGGTTGAGAGCCGAGGCAGCACCCTTTCTGCGGCGCTTGAGAGAGTCACTGTAAGGAGATGTTCCAATGGTGGTACCGGCAGTGTCGGAGAGCACCTTGATTGAGTTCGCGTTAGCACAGATCGAGACACGCACAGCAATTGCGTGGACCAACCTTGTGGAATGTATAGAACTCGGGCCTTGAGCTGAGGGCCTGGGCATTCTGGCCGAAGATGGCTCGAGCAGCAGAAGCAGAGTTGACGACGACGACGGGAATGTTGCCAAGCTGGATCTGGTACACTTCACCGTACTTGCGGGACCATTCTCGATACTTTTCAGCAGCATTGACTCGGATATCCCACAAATGACCGATGAGAGGCAGGCCAGCAGGACCTTTCATTTGTAGACGGGCATTCTTTCTGACTAGCTCGTTGACCAGGATGTACACCAGCGGGGCACAAAGAAGGGTCACAAGAAGGGATTGTGTAGGGTCATCCCTATACCGGCCAGCGGTGGTCAGGATGAAGTTGGCGATAGTCATGTTGACTACTGGAAAAGACGAAACTTTGAGGGATCACAATCTATCGCGATTTGTAGAATGCGGTAGAGCGATGATGGTTAGGGGGAAAGGGGGAAGAGGCGGTGCGGTTGTTGGGCCGGGTGAGAAGAGAAGCTCGCAGTGACCGCGCATCATATATCTGGCGGGTGGGGCATCCTCTGAGGGACAACTGCATGAGACTCGGTTAGCCCCATGGGGGTTCGTCACAGAGAAAGGTCAGCTGAATTCTCTCAGGCATGAGAGGCCGGTTGTGGCCTCGGAGCGTGTCGATCTCGCAGCATGTGGTGCTCGGAAAGCTCGGAAATGGGGTCCGATCCGGGGTAATCGAGATTTGCGAGATTTGCGGGGTACGACGCTCGGAACAATAAGTAAACGGACAGAGCCACGTCCTCGGAATGTCGAATCCCTTCCTTTCTCCTGCCCCTTGTTTGCTCGAGACACGGCGCATGGAAATCAGTTCCGCTGCTCGGGCTCCACCAAGACGACACATTGCACAGCGAGTTCTGAGGCACCTGCACAGCCATGAGCAGACAGACGAGCTCTGAGCATGCTGAAGTGGATGCTGAAGCGGATACGGCAGTGCAGAAGCGTGCTGCCTCGCCCGCTGCAGACGCTGTCCGCCGCCCAAAGCGAGGCAAGTATACGGCTGTTGCGTGGTATGTGTCCGCTCCCAAACGACTGTCGCACGATGGCTCACAACAGCTGGCAGTGACGAGTGCAAGAGGCGCAAATTAAAGTGTTTGCCTGGTGAGAACGACGATGCGTGTCGGCGATGCACATCATCAGGCCTGCCCTGCGTGTATCCAACGCATAGAGAGGCTGCGAACGCCGCCAAGGGCAAGTCAGAAAAGTACTCAACATTCCCGATCCACGAATCCCTTCGTCCACTCTGATTAGCTCTGACAGTTCTTCGATCACAGTAATGCAGAGATATGGGCGTTGGATAAAGAAGTGAAACAGCTTCGCCTCGAAATGGCTGAGTTGGCTGCTACAGTAACTGACCTGAAGACACGAGTGAATGGGGATGACAGCCGTTCGATTGCGGCCTCGGTGAGGTCTGGCAGCAATGCTGCCACTGGGCAAACATCCCCACGAGATCCTCGCTTGAGGATCACTGTCCCGAAGCAACCTCAATTTGTTGGCCCAACAAGGTCAGCATACAGTATAGAGATTGGTGAAAGATCTTTGACAAGGATGGGGATTCCACCCTATGAGATGCCGCCCCCAAGTGGCCCTGGATCTCCAATCGAACCATCGAGAGGGCCACTCACACTAGACTATGAGTTTTGGCAACGGTGTGACACTTCTGAGGTATCACGGTTATTGGGGGTGTTTCAAGAAGAGGTTGAGTCGGTTTATCCCTGCATTGAGAGCGGTTATCTAGCGGCGAACGCATCAAAAATCCTCGAGTACGGCCGCAATAGCGAAACTGCTCTCCAAAGTGATATGGCGCCAGAACCCAGGCAAATGGACTTTTCATACAAGGACTTTCAACTTGCAAAGGTGGCGCTCGCTATTGCGATCGTCATTGAAGCGCATGGAAAGAGAGAGAATAGCACTCAAATGGTAGAATCTGTTGAACGCAGTGTTTCCAGGATATCAAAACCGGCAGGCGACGTGAAGGACTTGCAGATCCTGACGGTCTTGGTCAGTATTTGACTTCTCTCTCGGATCCAGCCACACTCGGATACTAACTTACTAGTAGAGCATCTATTACTTTCACTCTGACGAGGACCTGCTTGCCTGGCGTACCATAGGCCTGGCAGCACGAGATGCACTTGAGATGGGCCTTCATAGAAAGGCGACCATATTGGAATTTTTCCACGATGAGTCCCAGAGGTCAATGGCTGCTAGGGTTTTTTGGGTCATTTATGTTCTCGATCGTCGTTGGAGCTTCGGCACGAGTCTTTCGTTCGCACTGGTAGATCGGGACATTGATCCTGAACTTCCAGAACCAGTAAGTTGCCCAAGGCAGAGCCCGCCCTCAACTTGTCCATTACGATCAAGTATACTGACATCCCCTGCTAGGGTCCGGATTATCAATACCTCAAATGTATGATTGGCTATGGACGTCTTAGTTCCCAGCTTTGGGAAGCACTCATGGCATTCGGTTCGATGGCCAATTTCATACCAGAAGAAACCACAGCCGTGCTGGATCTCAAGACGCAAGAATGGCTGGAATCTATACCTCCTGACCTCCAACTAAGACATCCACGCCTCGGGCTTGCAGCTCGTGCCCAGCCACGTGTGCTCCACCGCTTACGTGCCCTTCTATATCTTCGCGGTAATCACACGAGGATACTCATCTATCGCCACCACCTGCTTAGCCCGGCAAAAATCAAAGCCGACCCTCACAGTGCATACCTTGTTGTCGAGATAGCCAAAGATAGTATAAAGGTTCTGGTGCATCTGAATGCAACTTCAGACATCTACAGCCGTCAGCAGACCGCATTTAACTACTTCCTAGTAACAGCTTTGGCGGTTATTTTCCTCGCTGTCTGCCACGATCCCAAGGTCTTTGCAGAAGTATGCAGGAACAGTTTCCACGCAGCAGTCAAGCTAGTTCGAGATTTCTCTCGTCGAAGCCAAGCCAGCCGCAGGCTCTGGAATAGCATCCGAGGTTTACTACCCCGGTTAAAGAGATTAGGAATGAAAGGGGCTGAGGATGGCCGTGAGGTTGAGCAGAACAACGGTCAAAACGAGTTAGCTGCCCGCGAGGATAGCGCGGGTAGTCTGAACCAGCAAAGAGAATCCAAAGAGCAAGGGTACGGAGAGGAGACGGGAATGATTGTTCCAGTTGGAATGGAGATGTTAGCTGGTGGTCTAGACGCTGGCACTGAATTTGCTGGCGCGGGCACAACGCCCAACATGTTCCAAATGAGCAATGACCTCATGGCATTATTTGATGTTTTCGAGCAGGGACAACAGTTCCCATCGGATTTCGGCCAAGATTATTACAACGGAGGCGACGGGAGCGAAATCACGCGTCGCTTTCAAGGTCTTATGTAGTAGCTTGAATCAGCTTAGAGGCTATCACAAGATTTTTTTTGACGATCTAATAAATATGACCGCCTATTTAATCTTTCTCTAATGTTTATTTATCTAATCCTAAAACTTTTACAGCTCATTTTCGAAGAATACCATCATGGCGCCCTGATGAACTGTCTTTGCGAAACTCTTCAGTTCAGCATGCGCGGCACATTCATTGTCGTAGTACACCATGTCGTCCACCGAAGAGAAGACGGAAATCACGGCAATGGTGAATCCCTGTGCGCGCTGGTCTGGCTTGGCAGTTCCTGCTGTGACGGAGAGAATGTATGGCTTGCCATCCTGCAAAGTAATCGTTAGCTTCCATCCCCGATATGGAGAGCTGACTATGAATATATTTAACATACCTTAACCGCCTTAGCAGGCATCTGTCTGTAAATGGCCAGGAGTTTCTGCTGATCCTCGGCATTGGGGATCTTGAACAGGGTGACTCGGTTGATGCGTGAGCTAGACATGTTGGATGGGCTGAGTGGTAGTGAGGAGAATTGGGTGGCAGGGAGTTGATTCTTTGACAAATAATAACACGCAAACCAGGTCGTAAGTTGATAGAGAAGCGAGAGTCTATTATCTAACCGAAGGGAGCTCTTGTTATTAATGAGCTTCAAGCCTAGTCCTGATTAGGATTTGCCGTGGATGTGGGAGGTCGGAATCTTTCCGATTCCGAAGGAGGTCTATCTGGTGGGAACGTTAGCACGGCTCAATGCACCCCTCTAGGAAGCGGCAATTAACGTAGCTATGCCGACGGAGCCGTCGGATACGCTGGTGATTAGGACGTCCTCCCTTTTCTGAGATGCCGATCGGCTGATGAGTCGCGGCCAAGAGAAAGGTGTCGAAAGCTTAATTTGGCAGATTTCGCCTCCTTTACACTCTCTTCAACCACGAGTCTAATTGGTCAAATCAAGGACGGTCTTGCCTTAAGAGCGCTATAAAAATTTGTATGCTCTGTTATGCCAGCTACGTCTGTCGAATTTCATGAGTGATGTGCTGCGTTTGGAAACCTTGCTGGACAGACTACATATGTTTTCGGGAATTCTAACGGCATCATCAGATAAGATTACCCGCCATGTGAACAGAGAGTCCTTTCTCGAAAGAATAGTAAGCCTAAACGTATATACATGTCCAGAGCTTTTGAAGAGGACCGAGGTGACCATTCACAGGGTCCCAGTCCGGAACATCAACAGAGCTGGACTCCAAGGCCAATGATTCAAACCGGCTTTGATCTCTACCGTACTCGTTCTTCCATTTTTGAGAGTCCTTCGTTGCAGAGTTAGGTACGAGGCTGAAAAGTAGTACGGCTCAAAATACCTTGGGATAAGCTCCTAGATATCTGTAATCTTTGCTGGAGCTTTTAGAGCAGTGGGAAACCCCGGCGGGGAGTACGATGACATCTCCTGACTCTACATGGATTACTTCTCCTTCAACCTCAGAGTCGAGGGGACCAACCCCTATCAGAAGTTCTGACGAGCCTTTTACCACGGCTATCCAGGTAAATTAGCGATTAACCCGTGAAACGCCTGGCACTGTGACCTTCGGGCTACTCACTCGAACTTGAAAGGACGTACCATAGCATTCATGGGTATTTGGGTGGAAATGATGCCTAGGAACCGCATTCCAAGTACCCTACATTTATCCAACAATCAGTCTTCACTGACTCCCTTAGTGTTAGTTTAATTGTTCTGAAAATACCCCATGAATCCAATTATTAGATTCCAAAAACTCTTTCACTGAATCCTCTTCGAGGGGCGAAGGTAGGACATTTCGGTAAAAAAGTACGGGGAGCTGACTATTCGGTACATAATTTGTTGGCTTGAAGAAGAACGCTTCAGGTTGCATTACGACCGCCATTTTTTGAGGTGTTAGAGGAGGTATAGAGAGAAGGAAAGAAAGATTACCATCTTGAGGATAGAGCCTTTTTATAAAAAAATTGTTTTGGTGGGGGAAGGGAAGGGAGCAATACCATCATCAGATCTTACGTAGCAATCACGGAGAACCTTGTGGCTACGCAGGCCAAGCCATTCTTGTCTGGTATATCTAGGAAAGGATGGGGTATGGATCATTGTGGATTCCGATGTAGCAAGCTTACTGGTTTCTGTGGTGTAATGATATTCGCCATTAGTACTCAGCGGCTAGAATATGCGTTTACAGATTAGCGCTTTCGCGGCGGGAAGTTTCTCCAGGGGGACTTCAGCCATTTCTCTTGATTTTAGAGTGGGAAAGTCATTGGTAGATGCTTGCCCATTGTGAACGTAAGTGAAACTCGCAATCTTGTCACAGGGACCACAAGGGCAGTCTAACCAAATAAAATTGTGCCGTCTTCTTCTGCTAGCCACATATCATCTCCCACCCATTGCCGGACCAAGTGCTGCCTTACCAGATAAAAGTTTTTCTGTTTGAAACGATGTTCCAGGTAGGTCAATTTAGCTACAAGGGCCTTCCTCTCCTCGACGAGAGTCTCATTAATATCCTTGGCAACTATGCCTATCGGCCACAAGAGAGCGTTCTCGAAGGGTGAGCCAATAGGAATAGCATCAATGAGTTGTGCCGCCCATGAGGGAAGATTTCCAATTTCTTGATAGCCTCCATCCGGAGAGGACGATATCCCACAGGAAACATCTGCACAGTGTCGAACGCCGGAGCCCCTTCTATATAAAATGGCTGCAATACGATACAACTCTGAGACGAGGTTCGGCTGCTGCCACTGGCTAATCGAACTAAACAGACTCAGGTACTGGAAATCGGAATGTACGGCTATTACTGGGTCGAATATCGGCAATCTCTCATGGTTTTGTTGTGGTTCGAGTTGCTGGAGTGCGAAACTTGGAAACCAATCCAATCTTCCGTCCCATGAAGCTATGTCGGCATCGGTGACATCGGTATCGCCAGCTCCAATTCGAGCAATCAACCGCGGAAAATAGAACCGGTCCGGAGAGCCCTTCTCCCCATTCATCCAATCTGGTTCAGGCATGGTGTTGAGATAGAAATCAGAGAGTGTCGGGATCCCCAGTGACGTAGATTGGACAAGGTCATTGTATAAAAAAAGACTAGAGAGAAAGCAAAAAGGCTCTCTGTTTGAATAATCCACCATTCCTGTGTTTGGCCCTGAGGCTAACGCCAGCACGTGATGGTAGGGGATGACTTTCGCGAGGAATTGAAGATGAGCAGACATCGGACCTCCACTCTCGCTGGTCAATTTCTCGTAGAGAATGAGCAAAACGCAGGTCGCTAGTAGACAGAGAAAATCTTGCTTAGTGGAAAAGTCTGCACCGGTGGAAAGAATCCTCTCTGCCAGATCTCTTCCGAGGAGTGAATCCCCACTGATTGTTTGATTCTGATTAGGCTCTGGAGCGTTCATAAGACGAGTAACCAAGTTCATGCAGCCCCGTAGAGCCTTTTGTCTAAGACTTGGCATAATGTTTTGGTATACGAAACGACCATTTTCCCAAGTCTGAGCTCCGCTGAGTGCCAGTAAGGCATCTAGCACCGTCCGACTCTGGGCAGACAGAGGGAGCAAAATACTCAAAAACGGGTTGTTTGGCCCTGAAAATGTTGGGTAGGTTCTTGAAAACCTCTGGATATAGTGGTCTAGGAGACGGGATTGCGCCTGATCCAGATCCTCTGGCCAAAGAGAGAGTGCACGGCAGGGTGAATTCGCACTCTTGTCATCCTCGTTCATCGACTGGGTCAGCCCATGACCGCTCGAATATTGGTGAACATAGGCTTCAGAGTCTATCTGTTCATTCGCAGGCCTTGTTCGGCCTCTTCTCTTCATGCCAACTCTTCTTGTATCGTCCTCCCAGACGAGTCTGACATTGCCCTCACACTGGAGTCCCAGTCGAATACAAGTACTGCACGGCACAGTGGATGAATCGCATTTTTTCTTCCTGCAATGTGGTCAACATCTTTTCGCCTTGCATACTGAGTATCTCGACTTACCTTGCTCTGCAGGTCCAACAACCGCTCCTTGAGCGTGTTCCTACAGGCTTTGATGATTGAAGCGACTGCATCATCTAGAACTTGGACATTCACTTGAGCTGATCAAGAATAGTGAGCTCGAGAGCCGTTTAGACGATTGACATATTGTCCCCAATTGAATGGCCATGGAGGTCAATGCGGGGTCGGTGGAGGTTTATACTGGACGCATCGGATGGGGTTGCTGGATGTGGTTTGGTGGCGGCGATAGTCATCGGCCAACGGGCGTGATTAAGCCGTTGGGTGGGGGCAGAGATAGGGGTTGGGCATGGTGCATGCCACTAATAAAGCAGTACTAAATCACTGAAGAAATGCCCAAAGTCTATTAGAAGCCTATTCTGCAGGTGTTTAGATTTCGTCCAGGAATATATAGTTCTGGTAGGGTTACATCTTTTTCATAGAATCTGACACGAGAAGCGTTCCTTGGGTGCTGAACATTGCGGTATCTGAGATTCACAATACATCTTCATTTCTAGCAATCTGTCTAACTAATGTTCGAGGGGCCTCATCTCGTACATTGTCTCTTTGATGTACTTGACCATCTCCTCTGCCCATTTTTCCATGTCAGACACATTGACCGTTTCAACATGACACATCCCCGGCTTTTTCTCTGTGTCATATTTATCTACATTCTCTACGTATTTCTCCCGGAGGGCTTGAGCAGTAAGTTGACACCGCTGAGCCAGAACATCGAGGCGGTAGGTAGTCCACTGATAGTATAACTCGGTGAGGTGGGACTTGTTTCTAATATTCGCGTTGGTGGTTTCATCTAGTAAGAGTGGGTTTTTGGGCCTAAACGAGGTCACGATAGTGACTCGCTCAGGCATGTTCGTAACCGGAGCGGCGGTGTGACTGATATACCTGCCTTGGAGAAGGACAGCGCAACCCTACGTGTGCTGATGTTAGTTTGTGGATTCTGGAAATACCCCAGCCGATAGTAGACATGCACTGCCCCGAAAGAACTTACCATTTGTGGCGCCTTGACTTTCAGAGTTGTCCCGTCTCCTTTCATGAGCTCAGTCTCTCCACCAGTCATATGCCTGGCGTCCGATAGCATCACGACACAAACCCAGGGATGGGAGTCCTTGTGCCACTCAATGATCGGCTTGCTTTGGTCGGTGACGACTTGTTTCTTGGGCTTCTCTTGCTCAGATCTCTTGATCGCCTCCTCCGTGGCCTCTGGAGGCTCTATGGGTGTATTTCGAACTGCTTCAATCCCGCCTGGACCAAGCTGAACATTGGTGTGGCTGACTTCATAGTCCATGGCAGGGACAAGCTCGACGCCGGCAATGTCACTGACGATTTTCAAGACCTCGGGAGAATGCCAGAATTCATGAATGAAAGGCGCGTATCTTGGGGCCATACCGCGCAGCTGGACCGATCCTGGGCGAGTATGATGAAGGCAGTTGTCCAGGACCTCTTTGCTGAAGAGCTCCCGTCGGTGCTGCAACACAGCGTCGTGCGAGAGGAGCGGAAATGGGTCCGTGGTGGCAACGGGAGAGAGCGCCGTAGGCTGAAGCTTGATATCCTCCATCTTCAAAATTGATGACGGTGGGGAATATGCCAAGTGCTTCGAAGCATCGAATTTGGTTGCAGATACAGTCTTGGATGTCCGAGATGTAAAGAGTCCCGTGGATCCTAAAGTGACTGGAGTATCATAAACAACGGATGGAGCCATAGTGACGGATTTATCAAGAGTTTAGAACTTCTGTTTCAATAGCTGAAATATACAGTAGAGGAATTTTATGATAGGTACCTTGTGTATAAATTTGGGTTTCTTGGAGACCGTATTTAAATAAAAGAAGACGCTGGCAAGGATGAATGAGTAAGAGAGAACAGCAAACTGCTTACCATTTTGAGCAATTGAAGCCGCCGAGCAACCATATTATTCAAGCAAAGGGCTAGCCTGCTGATGATACCTTTCTGTTCCTTGGCAAGCGCCCTCCATTGCAACAGTGGGGAATCAAAGTGACACATCGATATCAAGAATGATCTTGTGGGGGAATTAGTGGCCCAGCTATTCTTGAACAAGAGGGTTCGAGACGCTATTGGTGGCTTGGCTCAGCATACAGATAGAGATAGTTAGGTTGTTTGGGGACTTCGGTGATTCTCGGCTTCTTTGGGCAGATTGAGAAGTGGGAAGACAGGAGGCACTCAATCAGTTATCATTGTAGGTTCTAGATAAGTTTGGTTATGGTGGTGTTAGTTGTGGGTCAAGAGTGCTGGCTAAACCCATTTCATGGTGTTTGAACCGCCAGACTAGGTTCCTTGTTGTTGCTGATGATCCACTTCCTTTCATCACCTGACAAGCATGAGTCGGCGCATGTATCAACACTAACCCTAATTCGAGGTGTTTGAAGCGCGGAATAGTCGATGACTAAAATTGAATCATGATTGGCTTCCATGAACTCAGGTAACAATGCTAAAGGAGGGCGGGACTGGGCCGGGGTTCCCCAGAAAGATACGCGATCATGATAACATCACAACACCGCCATTGGCTGCTGTAACTACTCTGGCAGATTCTGTTATCTTGGTAGAAGAGGAAAAACTATATCAGATCGCAGAGTATCCTGACATTTTCGTCCTCTTCTTTCTCTTGTTTCTCCTTAACAGACCACCGAACCTCCTTTAACAACATTCAACACCATTTAACACCTATTTCTTCTTATCCTAAACGTTTCTTTATTTTGGGAAACCTCTTCCCAAGATGTCTAAACCTGAGGCCTCTGAGACTGGGAAACCCACCGACCTCCATCGGTCACAGTCGCTCGAAAAAGGAACCTCTGAGAAATGCGACTATCATGGCATAGATACCAGCATCATTGCAATGGGTTCGGATGACGTATATGAAAGAAAGGTCACCATTATGAATCAAGCATTGATTGACATGGGAATGGGCCGATTTCAGTGGCAGATATTTGCAATGACTGGATTTGGCTGGTTTGTAGACAATGTAAGAGACACTTTACTGACCCTTCAACGAAGCTTATTCGTGAAACTGATATTTTTATCTATACCTTAGTTCTGGATGCAAGCAATCACTATCATTAGCCCGCCAGTTAGGAACGAGTTTGCTGTTCAGAAGATCGCTTTTTTGACGGTTGCAAAGTACGTCGGCTTGGTTCTGGGCTCCAGCGTGTGGCCCATGACGGCGGACTTCATCGGGCGTCGCCCAGCATTCAATATCACTCTTCTGATGTCCTCAGCCGCAGGACTTATTGGTGCAGGGAGTCCTAATTTCGTCGCCATAGCGACCTTCTGCGCTTTTATTGGTGTTGGGACCGGCGGCAATCAGCCAGTTGACAGTGCCATCTTTCTCGAGTACATCCCAGCTACGCACCAGTATCTTTTGACAATGCAGTCAGCATTCTGGTCCATCGGTCAAGCTGTTGCAGCTCTTATTGGATGGTACGTGGCGCTCCTTGAATTTGTCAAAGGCAAGATAGAACCCTTTACTAACCACTAGTAATCAGGCCGCTTATTGCCAATTTCTCCTGCCGTTCGGGCTTACCAGCTGGCCAATGTAGATACGAAGACAACATGGGTTGGCGATATACCTACTGGACATTCGGAGGTCTAACACTCCTCATGTTCATTATGCGTCTTGCTTTCAAAGTTTACGAGACTCCCAAGTATCTACTCGGCAAAGGCCGTGATAAGGAAGCTGTTGAAGTCATCCAAAAGGTTGCTGCTCGAAACAAGACCACCACCTGGCTGACCCTCTCACATTTTGAGGCGGTTGATGCCGAGCTTGGAGTCACTGCCGGCGAGACTGCCGAAACAGCCGCCCCCAACTCTGAGGGCCGAGGAATTATTCAACGAAACCTGGCGAAGTATAGGCCAGACAAAGTGCGCGTGCTTTTTTCCACACCTCGGCTTGCACTGTCTACTACTCTTATGATATTTCTCTGGTGTGCGATTGGGATGGCTTATCCACTGTACAACTCATTTATTCCCATCTATCTTGAGAACCGAGGAGTGAAGACCGGAGCTTCTTCATTGAACGACACCTACCGAAATTACGCCATTCAAGCTGTTTGTGGAATCCCTGCTTCGATTCTGGGCGGGTACACAGTGGACTTGCGAAGGATTGGAAGGAAGGGCACTGGAGCGTTTGCATGCATCAGCACCGGAGTCTTTCTCTTCCTTTTTACGCGAGCAGACACAAACGCTGCGGTATTGGGCTTCACGTGTGCCATCGCCTTCTTTCAAAATCTTGTTTATGGCCTGCTTTACTCTTACACTCCCGAGCTGTTTCCTGCTACTATTCGGGGTACTGGAAATGGCCTGGTGGCTCTTTTCAACCGTTTGAGCGGTCTGATGGCTCCGATCATTGCAGCCTATATTGGAATCGATACTGACCTTCCGGTTTGGATTTCCGCAGCACTATTCATGGTTGCAGGGCTTGTCTTCTTGGTTCTGCCCTACGAGACACGAGGAAAGGCTGCGGCTTAAATATGAGTTACTCAGCTCGTTGTAGACAGGTGGCAAACATTGTGTCATGAACGTGGGATGTACTCAATATGGTGCCCATTGGAGATAGGTGGCTAGTTATGATACGACGCGACTTATTTCCTCGGCCTTGGCTTCTGTTTGGGGCTTTTCTTTTGTTCACTTCAGTTACCACCCATACATCTAGGGTAATGGAATTAAATGGCACGATATATTAGAAGAATTGATTCGTCTTGTTACTGTGGAGTTGTCTGATGCTGCCAACAAATGAGACTCTGGTCTCAATATTACTGAGCTGGTGATCCAAATTCTATCGAATTGTTTGTGCAAGACACACCTAATTATAAAAACCGTGCATAATACCAAGCCTCCGAAATTCGTGGTTTACGTGGCATTCATGCACAGCCCCAGCGGATGGTTCGATACGATACACAATCAACGGAGCTCCGCGGATTACTGATTTTTACTTGACAATCCCAATTGGGATTTATCTCCAGGATTGTAGTAAACCTCACCTTTCTTTATCTTCAGCATACATATGATTTGATCTGGTAGTTGAAGGATCTCCGCGGATCAGATGAGAGCCCACCTCTCATGTCTGACGATGTCACCTCTGGAGTAAAAGAAAACATATAAAGACACCACTTCAATCCTCAAAAGACTGTAGAAAAATCATATTCTATCAGGGAACACATTTCAAAAATACAATCTCATTCAACCCACGCTTACCGAATATCCGAAAGCTTCCAAAATCAATTTCGAGCCACCATGTTTAAACCCATAGTCAGTCTCGCAGCCCTCACATTGGGCATTTTTGCGACAACGGCTGCCGCTACACGTGAGTCGAACCTCGCAACTTGGGTGGGATTATTCTAATTTCTCAAAAAGCTGCTAAATTGATTGACCCGAATCTTCGTTACTCGAACATGACATTGGAGATGCCACCGCAAGCTTTCCCTGTGCTTCACACGAGTTTCCGATACCCACCCGACTGTGGTGAAAAGAGCTACAAAGGGAGCGGACGCTTGGAGGGATTGAAGGCACTTATAACCGGTGGCGATTCAGGAATCGGAAGATCGATCGTAATCGCCTACCTTCGGGAGGGAGCCAAAGTCGCCATTAATTACCTTCCCGAGGAGGAGGCTGATGCTCAAGCGCTCTCAGACTTGATGGCAGAAGAGGGACTCTCGTTTGAGCGCATCCCTGGAGACTTGGGCAATGAAGACTTTTGCACTGAACTCGTGACTGAGGCTCATAGACGCCTCGGGGGGTTGGACATTCTTATAAATCATGCTGGGTAGGTTGTGGCCATTTATTCACCGAGACCTCGAAACTAATATCTAATTATCCTCTAGATTTTCCGGAAACTTGCAAGGTCCCCATTGGCGCCCTATTGAACAACTTGATGGGCGTGAGATGGAGCAGATTTACAAGATCAATGTGTTCGCAACTCTGTATCTAACACGTGCCGCTGTTCCTCTGCTGCCAGCCGGCGGTAGCATCATCGTCACTTCCTCTAATATCGCCGCCCATCCTGTCGGCCCCTCAGTTCTATACGGCTCCTCCAAAGCTGCCATTACTCATACAATACGCTCCCTAGCAATGCAGCTTGCACCACGAGGCATCCGGGTCAACGGCGTTGCCCCACGCTTGACCTATACTCCGTTCCTTGCTCAGTCTGGATTCACTAATACCGAGCTGGAACTCGCCAGCCAAGTCTTGGAGTTCCATCGCCTTGCTCAGCCAGCCGAAGTTGCCATGCATTATGTGGAGCTTGCTGATCCAGCAAATACTTACATGAGTGGCGAAGTCATCGCGGTCGCCGGCGCTCAGCAAGGGCTGTGAAAACTCACTACGTCAGTCCATCGCATCTCATAGCCACAGCTCGGATTTGCACCGGATAACCAATTATTTGATTCTATTAGGAGGATACAGGGTACAATATTCTTCAAATTGCCATTGCCTGCAAAATGAAGTGCCCAACCTCTCTTGCTTTGTAGATAGTCAATACTAAAATCGGCTCCTTGCTATGTGGGCTTTCAGAACCTGATTTCAAAGCCTTTTAAAGTTCTAAAATTAAATTATATCGCCTGATAGAAAGCAAGTGATTATCTTTGCAAGCAATTTACCTCCCCAGGCTTAAACGGTGCCAACCTCGCAAAGCCGCCTAGAAAACTCCAAAATCTTCTCTATCCCGAGTATATCACCGTGATGCCTTCCCAGATAGATGCAGACTGCTTGGCATTCCAAAATGCATCGCCGCCAGATATGCCATGCCCGAGATTGGCTGAAATGGGCATACCAATAAGCCATCAATATCAATGCATACGGATCCTTCTGCTGGAGTAGTGACCTGAAGTCATGTGGCATGAGACATAGAAACGATAGATAGCACAGTACAGTGGACTGGCTACTCTCCATGGCTAGTATATTATCTAGCGTAGTCGCAGGGACGCGGTAGGGATTATCGGAGTTGGTATCACTGCCATCCAGGCCGAGCAGTTGGATCACATCCTCCGGCAGTTCGGTCAGTGTTGGTTTGGGATAACCAGGGGCGTGGAGGCTGAAATATCCTTCTTCAGCAAAGGCGCGGAGGCAGCTATCTTCCCTACTTGGATTCGCGATGCGCCAGAGTTCTCGCTTCGCGTCGAACACCATGATCCAGGTCAGGTCGTTTTCGGTGGGTTTTACAAGTGGCCAGGCTTGCTCGGGCACCTTGGCATCTATTTGCGCAAGAGCGGATGCAGTTAAGAGGCTCCCGGAAGCCCATACAGCGTCTCTTTCTGAAGAAGTCAATGGGCCCTGTAGTGTCTTGTTAAACATAGCAGTCCCTCGATATAAATGGTGCAGTTCAGCTGTTGATGGAGGTACAGGGGGTGATGACTCCAGGTGGCGATCATGTGCCAGAGTGATACCCAACGCTACATGCATTAAAAACGGGTGCTTAAGATCGAGAAGGGTTAGATGGCTACTTGTGTTGCGGAGTACTGATACGAGGGGGCATACCAAACAAGCGAGACGAATCGCCTCTCTCTGATACAGATCTTGGGAGCCGGTGGTTGCCAAGGTTGGAGTGGTCCTAAATTGAAAACGGGTGAGAATGTCCAGATCCCGGTTTGTTAGCTGCAGAACCGGATTTTGGCTATCCAGAAATGGCTCCCGCCGTAGAGCCGCGTTCAGAGCGCCGAGGACTGCTGTTTTGGCCGAGGGTGAGGGAAGAATTCCAATCTGGTAAGGCCCATTCATCGCAACCTGAAGGATGCCCTCGCCAGGAATGGCCTGCTGCCCGTAATTACATAATACTCCGAAGCGATGGCAATTCTTGCAGGTCGGCTTTCGCTCATCACACTGTAATGACAGTCAGCACGATACATGTTATCACATTTAGGTATATTCACCTCCACGAAGTCTCAAGAGATCCCATCACTTACTTTAATTTGACGGAGCTTGCAGTTTCCGCAGCCTTTCCGGGACTTCGTGTGTGCCCGTCGTTTCCTAGGTTTCCTATCTGCATCAGGGGCGATGAAACGAGGCATGCCGCATGAGTGTTCGGCTAGAGTAGCTCGACGCTCTTCCTGACAAAGGCTGGGAAATTAGCCGCGTGCGCCTCTGGACGGAGGATGGGCCAATGACTTGAGCGGGTCCCGAGATGTCTTTTGTGGTGCGACTGAAGTGAAAGATGTCCGTTTCGAACGTTCTTCTGGAGGCAATACCTGGAAGTGGGAGAGGAACAAGGCGAGTGAGATGGCAAGATCGTTCCCCGAGAAAATGACCTCGTTGAAGACCCACTTTCCGGGGCAAGGCGCTAACCCATAATCGTATTCCAATTCCGCGCTAAATTAAAAGCGCTAACCCGAATTCGTGTCAAAAGACGCTAGCCCAAATTCGTGTCACGCAGGACGCTAACCCAAATTCGTGTTCTCAACCAAATAATCGCCCACAATTATCACCAACAGCTTGCGCCGAGTTCATGAAGCCTCGCCTTGGCTGGCGGCGTGATCAAAATGGTGACGGATATCCCGGCCGTGGTAAATTTTCGGGCATCAAGGATCCAATTGGGCTACCTCTAAAATTCTGTCAGATTGGTATTTAAAGAGATCTCTCCCCTCCTCAGAACTGTCAGAATGGCACAACAACTACATACCTACCAACTTCACGAGAAGAACCCAAACTCGATTACTTTATACAATACCTTTATCCTTCTCACCATGGCCCAGAATCTTCCAGAGACTATGAAAGCCCTTGTCTGTCAAGATGTAGGGCAACCTCTACAGCTCACGACCGTCCCGACTCCACAGCCAACTCCAGGAAGTGTTGTTGTCAAGGTGCTGGCCGTCCAGTCACAGCGTAGCCTAGCCGCAATTATCGCAGGCAAAACCCCTTTCACCTTTCCAAAGCCTCTTACGCCTGGAAATAGTGCCATCGGTCGGGTAGCTACAACCGGACAGGACACTACTAGTCTAGCTGTCGGTCAACTTGTTATGCTTGACACATTTGTCCGGGCTCGTGACAACTCCGATATTCAAATACTATGGGGATTCTCCGATGGTTTTACCCCCCAGTCCAAGAAGTTCATGGCCGATAATTGGGCCATGGGCTCCTACGCCGAGTACGTTCGCGCCCCTCTCGAGAACACTTGGGCACTTGATGAGAAGCGCCTGTGTGGAAACCCGTCGGACGGCGGTCTCGGATACACCATCAACGACCTTGCGTCTTTGCCTGAGATTCTGATCCCCTACGGTGGCTTGCGTGGCATCAACCTCCATCCCGGCGAGACCATCGTTATTGCCCCGGCCACCGGCGGCTTCAGCGGCGCCGCTGTTTTTGCCGCATTGGCGATGGGTGCGACGGTTATTGCCATGGGCCGGAACGCAAAGGTTCTCCAAAAGCTCAAGGATCGATTTCCGCGAGTTCGAACTGTGGTAAACACGGGCGACGTACAGGCAGATACAGCTGCGCTGCGGGCTCTCGGACCTATCGATGCGTATCTGGACCTGTCGCCTCCCCAGGCGGCCTCCTCTTCTCATATCCGCAGTTGCTTCCTTGCACTCCGACAGTATGGCCGAGCGTCGCTCATGGGTTTCATCCCAACAGATCTCGCCCTGCCATATTCACATGCGATGGGGAACAACTTGACTATCCGGGGCCAATTCATGTATGAGCGAGCAGATGTGAAGTCTCTCATCCGATTGGCGGAATCTGGGCAACTGAAACTTGGAACTGCTGGTTGCTATGAGATGTGTGGAAAATACCGGCTGGAGGAGATGGAGGAATGCTTCCAGAAGACAGAAGCATGCCAAGAAGCTGGCCAGGTTGTCTTGATTACACCTTGAATGTAGTAAATAGTAGTTAAAATTGCCTTTCTACAAATATAGCTTGTTCTCCCACTTGCGTGCCTGATCGTATGGCAGATAATCCCAGATGCACAAGCTAGCATCTTCCCTCATAAGCACAGGTTTCGTGCCCGGCAAAGTCCGCTTCAAGCTAAGACGGGTTTTGCGTTGATATCACTTTGCTCGGTCGCCGAATTTACCGAGGCCGGCCTCTCGCGTATTTCAGGGGAACAAATTCCCCGACCCACTGGTGCCTTGAATAGCCCAAAATAGGGGACTTCGTACTAATCAGGCCCAAGAGAACATCGTGTCAGGCGCGGTTGTGTATCCCTATCACCGTAAAAATCAAACAATTCCCAGCTAAATATGTATGAATCTCATTAATAACTACGTTTTGTTTATTCGATACACAAGGAGTTTCTTCGATCCTCCATAACCCCCCCTCGCACCTAACCAAGAGATCATCCATCACAACCAAAATGCAAAACGCTGAGTATAGTTTTGAGTTAGTAATTTAGAGGCATGAATCGAGCCATATTTTCAGGAAATCACGGCGAAGAAGGAGGAGACGGGGACAGAGACGCCTCTGACAAAAACAAGTTATATTAATAGTAAATATTTTGCAAAACAGCTTTTACAATCTATGAAAAGTCAGGAATGACAATGCTAATAAAACCCCTAGGGGGTAATCTTTTCAAAAACCAGATGCTACTGTGAACTCAGAGAGCCTCCACGAGTTCGGCATACTTGGTAAATTCCTCATCTGCCTTGAACATCTCCAGCTCCTCGGGATGTGTGCCCAAAACAAGCTCTACACCTCCATCCTTCTTCATTGGGAAGATAAGTAGGAATCGGAAACGACCACTACCACGGTCAAGCTGAGGACGCATCGACTCGGGCTCGCCTGCGTTGGCAAAGATTTGCTCTCCAAAGTTGATCTCGCTAGTTGGGAACAGCATCATGTTGGATATCATCGCGTGCATGTGCTCGGTACCCATGTTGGCGGTTGAGAATCTGGTATGGTCTGGGAGAGACTGTAGAATGGTAAATGCATCGTGAACAACCTGGGGGGTTATACGTGCGGCAGATTGGCGCAGTAGGTACGCAACTTGTCCGATGCTGGTCTCTGGGGAGCAGATCGTCTCCACCGGCATACTGGATCTGTTGAGAATGAGAGTACTTCCCATGTAGGTAGCTGGCAGAAGGGACGAGAAGAATGGCCGGGTATCGGTGGGGAGCTCAAGAATAGAGACATCATCAGAGTTGAAGGTCTGCTTGCGGATCTCTGTAGCGATACGATATCTTGCCCGGATAGCGGCGCGCCAGAAGAATGCCTGCACGATGTCGCTGATGGAAGAAATTACGCCCTTGGCTTCCGGATCAGCCATAACGTCTTGCTTCATCTGAGCAAGCTTTTCAGGCTTGATCAAGAATAGAGTGGTGTTCAAGCGCCTCTCAGCCTGAGGGAGGGGCCAGATAGGATGAAGAGGGAAGCTAAGCCGAGGAGGGAGTGCTCCTTCCTTCGAGGCAGAGGACTGTTTACCGCTGATATCCTCCTCCTCGGGTGGGTGGAACGGTAGGTAATTCCATGTACCGGGATCTATTTCACCGAGAGGCCTTGCCCAGCCCTCCTGCTCATGGAGGATCTCAGGCAAGCTGTGATTAAAACTGTCGGGGTCAAACCACTCGCATGTTGCCGAGGCATCACCCTGCAAGTATCTGCAGTTCTCAGCCCAAGCCTTTAAAGCGATCATGACACCAAGCCCATCCATACAGCAGTGGTTGAGATCAACAGCGAGGATGCAACCACCCTCGACAAAATTGACCTGCCCAGCAAAGATATCCGCAGGCATTTTGGGGAAAGGGTCATCCCGCAGAACAAGGCTATCTTTGAATGCAGATGGGGCAAACCCTGCATCTCGCAGCTTCTCGAATGACGGAAGAATCTTGGAGAGATCCTTGTAAACCAAGCGGTTGTGGGCAGAGGATGCCATGGAAAGGGGTGGAATCGTAACACAGAGGTCTCCCTTAACATAGCCAATTTCCTGCTCCGAGGCGTTCATCATTTTACCTCCTAGGGCAGGGATCATGTCAAAGGTCCGATTCAGACCCTCTTGCAGATTGGAGAACACCTGTTCGTTACTGACTCCATCGCGAAGGGGAAAGTAAAAGACCAAACCCATACCGTGGTTCGGGTTGACATAGTCGAAGGCGTTGAGTCTAAATGATTGTCGCGCTTGGTGTTGCGCAATCACCTGCCTCAACCGTGCCACCTCGTCATCAACATGCTTGTTTTGAAGGCTTGATTCCCCTTGGACTCTCAAATCAGCTGCTATGCGTACAATCATAGCAGAGAGACTCTCGATTGTAGGGTTGGCATAGATATGACGAGTCGCAATCTTCTCTCCCAGACCTGTAGCTGCCCGGATCGTCTTGACAGCTGCAAAAACGCCAAGCGAATCCAGACCAAGTGCAAACAGATCCGTGTCGGCGGTGGACTCTTTGACCTCAGGGATTGAGGAGGATAGGATCTGACGAATACAAGCCTGTACGGAGTCCTCAGACTTCAAATCCACCGTGAAAGACGTGTCGAGCTCGTCTGTGCGGGAGCTATAGAACCGCTCAATATAGTCAGCGTAAAGTGCCAAAGTGGCAGCACGCTTGACAGTACGTTTATCCGTCCGGATGAAGGGCTTATCAGCCTCTGAAAAAGTGACAAAGTCCTTGAGGAGCTGATTCTTATGTCGAGATACAGAGTTGGCCTTCTTGACAGTTTCCCATATACTTTCGATAAGATCACCCGTCTTGGTTGAGGGATCCTTGAGCTCAATAAGGAGACCAGCTTGTGGCTTTCCAGTTCCGAAGATAAGGCATCCGTTAATCGCGGGGTGGGTAGTCACGAAGGCTTCGGTCTCCAAGGGTGAAATCTTATATCCGTTGGAAAGAACCACAAGATCATCACTTCTTCCCTTGAATGCCCACAAATTAGGCTTAGTGGGATGTCTCATATAGAGATCCTTGAAGTTGATTGATTGCTTGTCTGGAAAAGTGTGGAAAATCCCCTGGAATAGGGGCCACTGCTCATTGCGATGGACCCAGTGCTCGTAGGTGTCATCCTCAAGTTGCTTGAACTCAAAGCCGGAGTAGGGGTGGAAACAGAACCAAAACCAGTCCTCTCGCGTCGTCACAAGATTGCCGATGAA